GACTTACATGGCAGCTATGGTAGCACTCTACTATGAAGACGGCGGTTAGGAAAAATCGTCCCTCAAAATTATACATTCTTACTAACCTTCCTGTAGTAAGATTTTATTATGGACATAACTCTATATACTACCTCAAATAAACCTTGTTTGACCGGCCACAAAATGTTGTCCCCTGGGCTCTAAAATCATGCAACACGAATGTTCCTTCTGCTTCAGGTGCTCCAACTCTCAAGATGTGAGATCTTCCACACGACACATACAAAGCATACACAGCTTTCTCAACCAACACTCACTTGATGTACAGCTGTGTTGGTTTTTGTCGCTAATATTTCGACGAAACAGAAATCAATACCTGATAGCTTCTGTCAACAAGATTTATCGCTAGATGACCCTATGAAATAGTGGAGGATATGATCAACATTGTTTAATATGAATTCTTTTAAGGAACACAAAAATATCGAAGGATTATTCCTCTTTGACCGTTTCATGTCGGCTAAAGCCAAAATGTTCAGCATTAGTAAAGTAAGAGAATAACGGAAACTTACAAGCATTTTGTTTGCATAGTCCTGTGAGTATATATGAAATATATAAGATGTTACTGAATACATGCATAAAATATATCTGTATACTGAATTTAATGCTACCAACATATTTAACTCTGAAATAGTAGTCAACAGGAAACATAAATGGTACAATAATTTGAAAATTTCCACCTAGAAATAACAGTTACAATTTGCATTAGGGAGTAGAAATAGTAGATACTGGAAGAATAGGACAAATCCTCCAACAAAAAAAACACAATCCCTACAAAACCAATACTTGAAAGTTAATTAATCTGATGATCACCAGTGACTGGTCCTATTCAGGCAGTTAACCATGGATTCTAGCGCAAAGGCGTCACCAGTAGGGCATAGCAGGTTGAAGATGAGGCAGTAACTCATCGAAGAAGTCATTGCGAAGTGGTCATGCTATGTCATGAAATGGCAGAAGTTAGAATTCATGGGTTGGCCACTGGGTCGGACCCCAGTGGCTTAATGGGCTACGAACTAGCTCGCTGGCCTTGTAATCAGAAGGTCCTGGTAGTACGCACCCTGATGGTGGGGTGTGCACTGCTGAGAAGCTACGAACTAGTATGAAGCAGCTGTCCAGCACTCTCTGCTGGCTATCCAATAGTTCTGTAACCGTTGTCAATTCATGATGAAATCCTTTAACCAACCAAACACAGGACATATGTTCCGTTTGTTCCCAAGTTTTATATGCATATTTGAGTGCTTATGTCCGCAAACGAGTGAGTATCCTTAAATTTAGGCTATTATTTAACCGAAAATTAAATCGGTACAATGTAATTTATCAAAATTTGCTATCTGACATAGACGATCAGAAGAATTCAGCGAATAATTATAGGACTCCTTTGTCTTCCTATGAATAAATGAGAGCTACAATCAAGAATATTTTGGTACTTATTTCTGACCACTTCACCTGAATGCATGTGTATATGTGGATAGCAGACGGTTAAAACTGGTATAAGCATTTTGATTCATTCGTTTCCGATGTAGAAGAATTTATGTTTCCGAGCTGGGTGATTTCGTTGTTCTACTAGGCAGCACCTTCAAAGTGGGATTGTATTATAATTGTACCCCCTGACCACCTCAGTTTTGATTAGTTGATAATTTGTTTCTTTGTTAAGCGTTTAGACCTTTTTCTCATGTTGTTAATTCTTTAATAGTTGGTAGATTTGATGTGTAATAATGTTTCTGCCAATCGTTGATTCGTCTAAGTAATTTCCCGGCATTTTCAATGTTTCCAGTATGTGAAGTTTCTAAATTTTCCCAACCTATCCTATGTTCATAATTGTCCACATGCATCAATATGAAAGAGTACATGTCACATCTTTGCACAACTAGTTTGTGTTCTTGAATTCTGTGTAGAAAAGAACGCCTACTTTGACCAACATCGTCTTTGCCCTCTCATATTTTCCTACGTAAGTGAAGCAGAAGGCGTTTTGGAGAGAATAATTGTATAGGGTATTCAGTTGACTTGCGTTTTGCACTTTAATATCGTTCCACCCATGCATTAATTATTTTTTAGAATCCACAATATGCATAAACAGGTAATGTTGGAGTGTTTTCATCGATAAAACTTTAGCAAAACTGATGTGGTGTGTTTGTGCATTGAATAATGAGATCACAACGGATTCAGCAGTGAACATTTAGCACTTTCCTTATGTTAGATAATTGTAGATACTTAACAGTAGGGTTTGGATCTAGGTTTCGTACCTGTTGACACCCATCAGTAAGGTGTATCTTCAACTCGTCTCCTCTCTGAGATTTGAACCTGCGTCATCCAGTTCTACGTTTAGTGACGTTACTATTGAGCTATTCAAATTCTTTTAGCTCAAATTTTTTTCCAAAATATCTATTCATTTTGATTATCAGCGTTAAAACGCATTTATTACCCGACATGGTGGTCGGGCTTGCACATTGCGACGACCAAACAAGCTGCACTAGCTGGAACCAATGTTCCTGCAGGTCCTACCATGCCAGGAAGGTTGTTAGGATAGCGATTAGACTAAAAGCAGTCACCGGTTTTGTGTAAGAATCTTTCTTATACTATGCTGGGGGTCTGAGGGCGACGTCATACTACTGAGGAACAGGGGTGTAACAGCAGTGAGGTGTTTCCCTCAGATGACCAGCATGCCAGCCAGCTATGCTGTATCTCCACTCCAAGGAGATGGGGTTAGAAAAGGTCGACTCCAAAAATTGCACATCCCGACGTACCCTGCTGTGGTCAGTAACCGGTGGTAAGTTTACTAATACGGAACCAATCCCAGAAACCAGTTTACACAGGCCGTGTGTGACCGGCCTCAAGCAGTTGTCCGCTGGGATCTGTGGTCACGCAACACTCTTTCTGTTTCAGGTACCCGAGGAATCAATCAAATTCTACGGTGTGGGCAGCCGGGAAGCAACAACCGCCCACACACTTCCAAAAACAGGCAGACAGAAACGTATTTATTTACATAAAAATTCCACTTTTAAACATGTGAATTACGCTTACAATACAGTCAATGACTTTTTGCTAAAATGAAAATGTGAACGAAACAAATTCAATGTTATGAAGATGAACGCAAGATAGAAGACTGCATTCTTAACAGTCATTTTATCATCATTTTACCCTTAGATTCTGTGTGGAACATAGGGATCCAGCAGTAATACAGAAAACATCATCGATGATTACAAACAGCTTTGCCTTACTCTCCTCTTCACTTCAGAACCTTGGTTGAACTTTCCGTTGCATTCCTAAGTATTGAAACAGTTTTCAATTTACTTTGCAGTCAACGGTGTGGAAGGCTTTTTTCAAAGTCATTGAAGTTGTAGTAGTTGTTTGACTGCTGTTCTTAGCTGTCTTTGATGGGGAAGCTTAGGGTTACGATTTTATTCGCACATAATTTACATTTCAGGAATCTAGCTTGTTCCGCTGGTGGTTTTTGCATCTAGAGCATCCTTTTGTCTTTCCGAGATTACGTGACTTGATATTTTTCTTGTAGTCAACATGAACAAGATTGAGTGCCAAATCTTTCAAATACCAAAGTTGTCTCTCTTAGGTATTCTTGACAAGGTACACTTTCTTTCATTTTGTTGGTACCTTTCATTCCTTGTAAACCTTCTGCAACTATGGGATCAAGATATCTGCTCAGCTCCGAGGATCTGTGTTCAGTGCTTCAGGATGTATTCTATCTACTTCTGTTGCCTTCCAAGCGGGGTTTCAGTAGCTTTATGGCATTAGGTATTTCTGCCTTTGTCACCTATTTTACTGGCTTGTCGTACGCCCAGAAATAGAGGGAAGGTTAGGCTTGGAACGAATCACTCAGCCCCGCGAAATCAACCAATTTTCTACAGAAACTTAGACATTCACTTAGGTTGATCGACATATGGAAGAATGTACACCCCTATCACTTCTAGCTGTCATATTTATCACCCTTAGGTTTCTTAAAGTCCATTGGATATAATAAACATATACTTTGTTTACATTGATTATGTGACTTACACATCAGTTTTGGGGGTTCTGGCGGAAAGGAAATATCAATACACTCATAAAGTACACATCACTCAAACTGTATACAATCCGCATTAATGTCTGTGTAATGTGCTTCAAGTGAACTCAACACATAAAAGCGTGAATGCGAATTTGCATTCTAAATCTTTTCTCGAAATTGTAACAATTAAATCAAATAATTGGAATGGACTTAAACTGATGGCTATTCATGTTTGATCTCAATTGTAGACAGCTTTGATTTCTCAAAACTTCATATGTATTGTTAATTCAGCTAACCCTTGTTCCTAAACTCTTCAAAGATTTTTCTCAGACTTTCTGTTTAGAAGCATAAATCTGACCTACAATCCTGTTCAGTGAAAAACCACCGTCAAACAAATCGATGTGGAATATGGCGTGTCTCATGTGTTTTTAATTAATCAGTCGTGATGAGAAATGGAAAGTTAGGCATTCTGATCAGTCGGGCATTCTTATTCTATCAAAGACTCAGTAAGTAGATAGAATCCATTAAAAACATAGACGTACCCCTCAAGCCTACATGGAAATATTTTCAGGAACAATGATAAATTAATTAACCACTGAATATTAATAAATACACATCTGTAAGTGTGAAGTAACATTTGACGCTTGTCAGTCAACGAATACTGTCAAGTGTCTTCCTCATTTCTGAAACATCACCAGCATATGATATCACTCCACTGAAATTCTGGCGGCCTGCTTAAATCTTGGCTACCAAAATTTCCATCCTACATAGTGCATCTATTTTCTCGGATTTATTTTGTTTTAATCATTCAATTATGTGTCCCAATCGCATTGTTTGCTCTTGCGGTTATTTAAAGCGTTTTCAACCGGCTGATTTACTACTTTCTAAAAATTTTAAGAAAAAAGTCCATGGTGAGTGGCAACGAGCTTTAAAGTATGCCATAATGCATTTGATGACTGTTCCTGTGATTATGAGCACAAATTGTAAGTCTCTACCAAACAAGAGTAATCATTTGCATTCTCCATTATACTCAAATGTATATTGTAATACTGGTGTAATAACTCTTCAAGAAACTTGGTTTTTCATATATCTAAAGAGAACATTATATTCAATATTTTTAAACATGCTAGGATTTCTTTACCGCATCGACAACACTGTGTGAAACAAGCCCATGGTGATTTTCACTTGTGTTATTATTATTACCTTAGCTGTTATCATTATTATTATATCCATTTTTGTATGCTGCATGTTTTTGACATTACCCCTATTGTAAATGTGGAAACTTTTCTGTATGATCAATTTTATTTATAATTTGAGGAAATTAGACGCGATATTGTGATTAATGCTGAAAATTCCATTATGTATCACAAGTAGTGTCTTTGGAATGAAGTAAATTATTATCATTAGATTGTCATAATTTAGGGTAATGTTAACCTACTGATTCAATGGTAACTCATGACTCATCTTGAGATGGCTATTTCAGACACCAAAGACGGTAATATTGTACACATCTCAAGGAGTGGACGTTATGGTGAATATACTATGTTTTATGGACAATACTGACAAATAAGAACACCTTTTCGGTTGTCCCAACACTTCACAGCTTCGTTCACATCAAATTCCCAAATATGTTTTTTGCTCCTGATTACTTTTCATGGTGTTTTGAAAATAATCAACTTCTATCTTTGTTGATGTAAGCATTTGTGAAACAGGGAATTAATCGATTCATGCTAACTTCATCGAATCTTTCTACAAAGTGAATAAAATTATCAACAAAAACTCGTAACACTAAACAAATCAAAAACTATAAATATAAACTAACAATCTGTGTAAGAAATCCAACCTGGTGATGAAAGGAAAGTTGAAAATGAATATGTTATAATGTTTCTTGTAGTAATGAAAGCAAAAATCAAACAAAATTGTTAATTTATCGATATCTCCTCTTCGTTTTGGTTTCACTTTTCGGTGGAAGGTGATTTGCTCAAACGAATGAGCTGTTTTCATACACCACAAGGGTTATGGGCTAACCGTAACATGAGTAAAAACTAACCCAGAATATTTCTGGTCATTTAACGATCGGTGTTAAAGAAATTATGATGTTTATTCTAAAGTGATTGTCTTCACTGGAACCTGTTTTATCTGTGGAAGGCAAAGAATCTAATGGAACATTATTCTCCTTTCAAATACACGTATCCAAAATCGATTAGGCATATGATAGAGTCGTTATTCGGTAGTTACCGAAACAATCTTTGTAAAGTTTTGTTTTAAACGTTTATATATCTTAAAGATGACGATGTACTTTTGTAACGACAGAAGACAAGGGGTGGGAAACAGATCATTTGTTGAGAAAATCAAACCATATTTGTAGATTTTAAGTTCATTATTATTGGTTATTGATAACAGGAAACAACGTCTTCTGTTGTTTTCTCTCTTAAAGTTGTTCATTCATCTCTGTGTAGCCGTTTGTTTGAAGGTGAGACCATATGGCTGCGAACCATATCCGCCCACTCAAAATCTACTGTTATTTAATGTTGAGTTAGTCTTTGTTCTTGTTCTTTTCTCATGACCAAGATTTAGGACGTAAACATTGACGTAAATTACTGTCTACTAATTGTTGCATAACAGACAACTCTCACCACACTTTGACCGAGGAAACGCACCTTCTGTCAGTAACAATATACGTATATACATATATATATATATATATATATATTTGTGGCATATACATTAAGGCAATCAATTAACTACAGCATTCAATGAAACTGTACATGCCAGGATTCGCAGCACGAAACGGTAAGTTCCATTTAGCGTAAAACACTTCGGTTATTCTGATTACGCACGTACTTTTTATAGATATTCAACTGAGCATTAACAGTCAAAATTTCATCAGTCGAAGTCAAAATGTTTACAGGTCATGACCACAGATAAAAGGTAGGAATATTATGTAAGACGCATTCAGCAGACATGTACAAAAGATAGCTGTGAAGAAGAAATACAAAACCTCACTTAAGCCTTATTAGGTGATGACTATCGCTTGAAATTAATTAGACTCTATAGAAGCGAAAAACCAAGCGATCTATTACTTCATTCGAAATGAGCTCTTAAATATTTACAGGCGAATTTATACATCCTTACCGCTCAAGCGTTATCGCCAAAGTCTGATTAAAGACCTGGAGAAGCACTTACAAGAACCTGCTATGCAACTAAACTCATTATCACAAATAAAATGAGATTTGGGTTATCATGTGAACGTCACTATCATATCCCACTTTGTCTATCAACTTAATCACGAGAGTGTGTGTGTGGTCACACGTATATAGGAGGACTCATCGATGTCTGCAGGCTAGGGATACACAACGTATTCCAAAATGTCTGCAAGGACAAATGAAACCACCTAATACACTTAGCCTCACAAATAGATGTCCAGAATCATCTATCCCAAAGTACATCTTAGAGATGGATCTCAAAATTGATGTCAATAATGCATTTAAACCTAGATATAAAATGCGTGTAGGTGACGTAAATTTCATGAAGCCGTAGCCGTAAATGGCTTAAGTCTGTTTCATGTATTCAAAACATAATTTTCATTACTCTGACCTTGCCCTAGGGATCAAATTGTGTAACTAAGGTTAATTTTACTTCATTATACTTTCACCCCGTTCATTTTCCGCACCTAGTCTCTGTGATCAGGGCATGTAAACAATATGACCTATATTGATGAAAATACTCTACTGGCTTTTTAAGTAAATATGTATGTCAAGTAAGTGTGTGACCAGGATATTTAAAAAAAGGTTCAGATAAACCAAGTCTTGTTATAATTTTATGAAAAATAGTTTTTAAATCAGTTTGAACTTACAGTACTCGCAGAAAACTTTCGCTAAATTTCAAGTTTGAATAAATTGTTGTACAATGAGTCAGCAGCAAGATAATAACTTGGCGGGAAAATTCAGTCACTGTTTATATAGAGTGATAATTAGTCATAATTATAGATAGGTATGACGTTAACTGTGAAATCCATCTCTCTGCAATTAATAAATTTTATGAACGTGAAATAATAAAACAGAATATTGTCTTAAGACAAAAACAATTACATTTTTCAATCTGTCCAGAGATTACTCATAATGATGTCATCAGTTCTGTTAATGAAACGTTCCAGAACAAATACTAAAGCTGAGAGAACATTGAACACTCTTAAATGTTATCGGTAGTACAGTGGTTAGGATTCTCACCGACCAAGCACATGGTCTGGGGTTTGATCCCTTGCCGACGCACACCAGATATCAATTGTCGGTCTGCAAAATTTGGGCTACCGATATCGTACATTGAGAATTCCATACCTGTACGGAAAATACGGTGTGCAATCAAGTTGTAATCAAAAATAAAAATTAAATAATTTATGCATAGAACTTACAATAATTCGAAAAATTCTGGGCTGAAAATAGAAATAAGTCAGAAAATAGGTGAGGGTTAAATGCAAATATATAACTACTAGTGAATTAATTGGTGAATCTTGCCATCTACGCAAATACCTGCTTAACTTGGTGTTAATCACCACATGTGATTTTGATGGCTGTACAAAAAATATAAGCTTTTCTCTAACTTAAATAGCTTTATATACAAAAGGGTTAATCAACGAAAGTGAGTTTATGGATCAAATAATATTTTCTATTGTTGGTTTGTAAAGATTAGTTATGTTTTTACCAGTTGATCATGGATTGATATCAGTTAGAGAACCAGTGAAAACTAGGGAGTAATGGACACACAGATGTATCATCTCACTATTTCGGGAATCATAGGCAGTACGCACCCACTGGGGTTCGAACCCAGGACCTTCCAGTTACAAGGCAAGCTCGTATAACATTTAGCCATTGGTACCCGACAACATTGATTGAGGTCGCGCTAAATCAAGAATTCATGTAATGGTTCGCCATTGGATCGGGTCCAAGTGGTTGAATGATATACGAGCTTGCCTTGTAACTGGAAGTCCTGAGTTTAAACCCCAGTGGGTGTCAACTGCGGATGATTCGCAAACTAGCATAAAACAGCTGTCCAGTATTCCCTGGTTTTCAATGGTTCTCTAAATGATATCAATCCGTGATCAACTCATAAAAAGATCAAATAATAATAGTAGTAAAAATAATAGTGCGTTAGGTGTTTCGAACGTCAGTTATAACGATGACTTTAGTGATAGCAAAATACAATGCTAATAAGGCTTATGCACATGGCGGTAAGAATAACGAAGGTAGTAATATGTGTATATGTAGACAATTTGATAAATAAATTATACATAGCTTCGGCTATGTGTTATTGATGGAATGAGACAGAATAGAACTTATAGGTTTTATTTAAGCTTTTCTGAACTCTTAAGGAAGATGTCCGGTTATACGTTTGTTGAGCTGTCTAGTTGTTCGCCCTGTGGGAATTTAAAGGAACCATCCCAGTCTTTGCATACAAACAAATTTGTTCTACCTTTGTCTCTCCTTCGTCTAGGTAAATTCTATTTAAAACCCTCTTACCCTTTCTCATTTCACACTTCTTCCCACTGTTATGATATTTATTTGAAGGCTGATTACCTGTCCAATTCACTTTAAGAATTACGTAACTTTTAAGATCTAAACTGATCTGTATATTGAATTGTCCACAAGTACACATATTTCTACCCCATTAATCTTATCACCACTGAATAAACCTCACTATCATTTTTTTCGTTATCATTATAATTGAGCTCGGCCACTATTTGATTTCAGCTTGAGAACCATTGAAAACTGCGCAGTACACACGATGGTCGCGCTAAAATCACATATTGGTAGAAATCAAAATCCATGGGTCATTGGATCGATTCCCCGTGGCTGAATGTCATACGAGCTTGTTTGTAACCGTAAGGTCCTGTGTCTGAACTCCTACTGAATATGGGTACTGCCCATGATTTCCAAACTAGGACACAGGAACCAGATGTCTAGTACTCCAGCACTAGTTTCCAATGGTTCTCTAACTGATATCCCCCCTGTTCAAACTCGAAAAATAAATCAAATACTTAAAAAACCAACTCTTCATCATTATAATCATCGTTAATACTGACGTTCAAATATATGAAGTTATGCAAATTAAAATAAAGCCTAAAGAAGATCGCTCATGTGCCTTTTTTTTAATAATAAACATGGCGATATTTAAAGATTGATGACCAAAACAAACAGTATTTCCGTGTGTTTTTACTATAATTTGTATTTTGCCCTATAATTACAGTTCACGTTTTCAATAATGAAAAAATATTACGATTAAGTAACAAAGTTGAAAGCGATAATGTAATTTTGGGCTTACTTGAAATTTGCCTCAGCTGAAAGATAATAAAATTTAAAGACCCTTAGTTAGCTCAATGATTCCACAAAAAACATTTA